GTTGGAGAAAGTTGTGTTGTTCTCACTGGAATGGCAGAGGTTGAGGGGCGACCTGATGGAGGTCTACAAGATTATGAAGGGCATGGACAGAGTGGACAGTCAGAAGCTTTTTCCTGGGGTGGAACAGTCAGTTACCAGGGGCCATGGGTTTAAGGTGCGAGGGGCAAGGTTTAAAGGTGATGTACGAGGCAAGTTTATTTACAGAGGGTGGTGGGTGCCTGGAACTCGCTGCCGGGGGAGGTAGTGGTAGCAGATATTATAGTGACTGTTAACGGGCGTCTTGACAAATATATGAATAGGATGGGAATAGAGGGATATGGTCCCTGGAAGGGTAGGGGGTTTTAGTTGTGATGGGCAGCGTGTCAGTGCAGGCTTGGTGGGCCGAAGGGCCTGTTTCCATGCTGTATGACTCTATGACTCTATATACCATTACCCATGAAAATTTATCCTAATATAAGCAACAATATAAGCAAGGGAGGAAAAGCAAATAGCTCTCAGAAGCTAGAAAAGTAAAAATGGGTTGGATGGAGAGATGAGAAGGAAAAGCACCATTAAGTGCAATATAATTTGTCAAAACTAGTGATGTATTGAATGGTACAAAATCGAGCTGGAGTGTTCAGAGCAATTCACCATTACTCAGGGTCACTAGCAACATAGGACAGAAGGAGAAAACAAAATCCACAGATAAGTCGACTGTCTTGCTAAGCTTTTCAAAGGCATCTAATTTACATCAAAAGTTTATCATCTCCATCTTTCCTCTCCCAAAATAAACCCAGTATTATTCACTCCTAAATTTTGTTCGTTTTATCCTTGCTTGGGCTCAGTTCAGGAAAGAAAAATTGCATAGGACATGCATGCTTTTTCAGACATGAAAGCTAATCATTTCAGAAAAATGCTCTGCCAAAAAGCAATTTATCTTAAGATTAGAGTAAAATGATTTTACAGCAAAAGGTCACATTAGTCAACCTCAACATATTCCGTTTAAGATTTCACCAAGCGACAATGTAGTTACAGGTGGAAACCCACAATGTAACAGACATCTAATGATGCCACAGGAATTCATGTAATATTGTACCAACAATGTTCAACCAACACTTGTCAAAATTTCCACACTACTACTGACAGAACTAGAACAGGACAAAGCACAATAGTGCTTTCCAGAATCATAAGATTCAGTGTTTAGTTCTGAACAAAATCATCCACCTTGAAGCAATGACATTTATAAATGGTATAAACCCAAAAATGAGAAACTAGTCCCATTCTGACCAACTGGAACATTGGATCTCTAAACAACCAAAATATTTATTCTTGCACTGAAAAAAGCACTGAAGTTTAAGTCTCAATAGCCTCCACATGTGACTTTAATACTGTGTACACAATAGCAGATTTTTGGTTCTTGTCCAACTACATCTTCTGCATCTCAACAGTCAGATTTTCTACTGTCTGTACTAGCCTGTGTAAAAGCCCAAATGGGACAGAAAATTGCCACAAATCAATTTATATTGTATCAACAGCATTGACCTATTTTAAGTAAATTTTGTTTGATCAGAGATTAGAACTGCATTAAATCATTAGCCTCCTCCTCTTCCTCCTCCTCCTCCTGTTGTTGAGGTTTAGGTCAGCATAAAATTGGAGCTGTTCAACAAAATCAAAAAAGCTTCTGCACAAGCTATTATTTAAAGTGTCCCTCTGACATTTTTAGATGACAACATAATTTGTCAAGTTCAGCTATATACTGTACTGTCATTCCATTTTAAATTCACAAATCTAATCACATTGGCAAATAAAGCTAACAGCCGAATCCTTCTGGACTCTTCCGCTTGCAAAGATTCCATTTAAACTGCAGTCAAACCTATAAGTGCCTTGTCCTCAGTATCATAATCCTAAAAAATGTAAATATCAAGTCAATATGAAAGATCGACAACACCGAGAAGGATACTAATAAGTCAGCTGCATTTAAAGGGAATCTAGTGGAGCCTAAAGAATAAAAGGAACAGAACAGCATAAAGTGTGTTGAAAGGATGGTTGTTGACAGTGAGGCCAAATAATCAGTTTGTGATGAAAGCTCCACATAATTCAATGAAATATAACATGTATTGAGGTGACAGTCACTTCTGAGAAGTAATGCATTAAATCGTCCGAGAGACCAGAATAGTTCCAGTAAAGTAGAATTTGTACAGTGTTTTTACAAACAGTTCATTGCTGTGCAATGACCTAGCGGTATTATCGCTAGACTATTAAGTCCAGAAACTGAAATCATATTCTGGGGACATGGGCTCGAATCCCATCACAGCAGATGGTAGAATTTGAATTCAATTTAAAAAAAACACAATCTGGAATTAAGCGTATACTGATTACCGTTGGAAAAATCTATCTGGCTCATTAATGAGTGCCATTTTCACTAGGTCTGACCTACATGTGACTTCAGACCCACAGCAACGTGGTTGACTCTAAACTGCCCTCTGGGCAATTAGGGATGGGCGATGAAGGATGGCCTAGCCAGCAAGGCCCACATCCTGTAAATTAAAAAAAAACAAACAAAATCACAATTTCATCAGCTTAACTAAACAACACTGAAGAACATGAACGGTCAATTAAAGTTGGGAGTCTGCAGGGGTTACCTAGACACACGTAGTTTCATATTCTGGACCAGTTTCACTAGCCAGAGCCAAAAATAGCAATTAGATTTTTAAAAAAAAGATATTTTTACGAGTTGAGTGCACCAAGTTCATTTGACTGTCCTATATGACTGACCTTAATCAGACCATCACATATAGAGATCAAAATTTAACACCAGTTTACTGAAGCAATAGCAGTAAATTTAGCACAGGGCAAGCAAGTTTGATATGGGTAACAGTGAATACAAGTAACAACAATGGTCTGATGCTTTACAAGGATCAATGAAGGCAGTACATTTTAGCCTATTTCATTCACAGCATCTCCTTCAACTTTTCTCTGTTCAGCACATGCATGTCAATTGCAGATCTTCATGTTTTGAAGACTCACTGGGACTCCAGATAAATGCATTCAGCCAGGATCAGGCATCTGGCAAATATCTTTTCCACGATGTTGCAATCGCTGTAATCACTCATTCTTGTACAGGGTCTTTAGTCATAGCACTATAAATATTCTTGAGCACTGTCCCCTTCCTCCAGCAGACAAAGAGGTTTGTACAGATACTGCAGGTCTTCCCGTTTCTTATGTTTATGAGTGCAGATCATTTAGCATCAATACCTCAAAAACTTTACCATTGGCAAATAAGTCAATAGTTTGGCTGAACTTTTTCACTATGGGTTCAACCCATAGGCTTTCAATGGTGTCTACAGCTTCCTCAGTCACCGTGTTCTCGTGAAAGCATAACTCAAAGCAGTGTTCCACTGATCTATGCAAATATTCATTCAAGTCAGTGATGACCTCTCCTTGCCTTTGTTTTCGAAAGAGCTGTTTTCAATGTTGACGGACCTGTTGCATTTTTTTTATTCTTTCAGTTGTATGCTTGCAGTTCTTTTGCTTGAGGATACTTGACAAAGTTGTTACTAGTTGTGACTGGTGTATCTATCAGTCTGTCCAACTTTACTTTAAGGAGCACGTAGCTCATTTAAGAGTCCTTTTACGTGTACTTGTCATGTTTTTTTTAAATTGTCTATACCTAATTGCCCAGAGGGCAATTAAGAGTCAACCACATTGCTGTGAATATAGACCAGTTAGGGATGACAGACTTCCTTCACTAAAAAGGACATCAGTGAACCAGATGGAGTTTTACAATAATTAACAGTGGTTACATGGCAAGGCTGGCTTCGAATTCTAGATTATATGTTTTAAACTGATTTCAAATTTATCATGGTGGGATTTGAATCCCTATTCCAAGAATATTAGCCTTGGAAACTGGTTCGCAGATCCAGTGACATGACAGCTTTGTGACAGTCGCCTGCTGGATTAATGAGTGCAGAATAATTATCTTCAATTACACATTTCATCGTAGCGATGTTAGTCCCAAACTAGTTACCGTTTTTCAGCTCTTGCTTCTCATACGTTTAGAGTGCAGTACTATAGATGGTGTCTCAAAGTACATTTGATTTTGATTCTGCACTCTGTATTGGACTGAGTGCCTTTTTGACTTTGTAGAACAATTGTTGTTTTCTTTTTAATCTGGATAAACTGCAAAAGGTGATGTTAATGCATTTTTACACTGGGTAAAAAAAAATCTTTGAGAATTGCATCCAAATACTGGTGCTACCAAGAATCATCTGTTTTAGTCAGTGCTCTGGCAACTGCTTGTGCAGAGATGCTGTTCAGAGTCATATCTGGTGATGATCAGATCCATCTGATGCCAATCCTCAATTTAATTTTTTCAGACACCTAGTAAAAGGTCCTCATGGTGTGGTGGCAGTGTCCCAATCTCCGAGCCAGAAGGCCTGGGTTCAAGTCCCACCTGTTTCAGAGGTGTGCATTAACATCTCTGAACAGGTTGATAAGAAAATATCTTCCAGACATCAAGTAACATGCTGGTTCTCAAAGAAGCAGTTTGGAACACAAAGCTCATGATAGTGAAGTGGTCTCTATTCATTCTCATTGATTTTTCCCCAAGTCACAATGTCTGAGGCAGAAAGGCCTTGCTTCATGATGAGTGTCCACTCTTGCACTGAAATCCCTCCATAAGTAAAGTCATTCTGAATTAAGAATTCTGCTAAAAACAGCATCAAGCTCCTTGCAGAACTGGTCATTGGCCTCTTCAGTGGAGTGCAGCATTGAAAACTAGATACTCATGAAGTTAACTAGCCCAATTTGAGTTGGGAGACAGATGGACCGAACAGTCCTGAACCACTATCAAGAATAGCAAGTCCCTTACAGCAAGCCCTACAGTTTGCTCACGCATTTCCTCTGAACGCTTTCCCTGTCAGAGAAACATCTACAATCTTCTATTATCAATACATTCTCAGCAAGCCTGGTATCATATAGGGGTATTATGTCAATGTCCTGATCAAGTTTCAAGTTTCAAGCTAACCACAGCCTTCTTCTGTGTTAATCACCAGCTGCAAGTCATCTGTCAATCCCGTGCACATGGTTGTAGTGTCTAGTTTGTTAATCAAAATGTTATCATCTGCTTTCTTTTCCTTTGTTTGACTGGAGGGAAGGATTCCTTGATTAGAGACTCTAAGCTCCACGCACCCACTGAAATTCAAAAGATCCACGTGATACATCCAGTGTGTGGGCAAAGAGAAATAGCATAAATTAGACTTTGTGTGCCAGTTTGTTTCTCATTTTCAGCCTACACAAATATATACAAAGTGACCGCATACAAAATTTTCTGTGCACTCTATCGACAAATATAAATTATAACATAGGGTCTTATGGGACAGTGGTAGCTGGACCAGAAGATCCGGGTTCAAGATCCACCTCAGGACATGATGGTCACAGAGGTGTGTTGTAACACATCCAGACAGACAATTAAAAAATTTATAAGTGAATATAGCACCTAGTAGCACTGTTTAAACTGGTAACCTGATTTTAACGAATCCACACTTAAGTGCAAAACCCAGATGGAGAACTTTTTTTTATTCACTCATTCACGGGATGTGAGTGTCATTGGCAAGACAATATAAAACAGAACACAGATTTCACAAATTTCATTATGCACAAAGCTCAAAGACTTAGGCAATTTTATACTTTCCTGGTTCCTGTTCAGTTCACATTTCTTTCGTAACAGAAAGCATTTCAGTTTCATACATAGGGCAGGATAAAAGACAGCCTTCTGATATGGATGATTATATTCAGCATAACAAAATGCTTCAAAACTGTTCTGCACATCAACTTAGGAGAATGTAATTTATTGCGTCCTTTATTTTCCTTAATGTGAAACATACCAAGATGTCCTCGTGTGCCAGGGCGCTATATCAATACAAAACCCCATTCTGCCGCCTTTGAAAACAGAAACGGCCCAAGTGACCCTGCTCTGTCAGGTTTTGAAACTTCTGACAGATGCATTAACTCTGCTTCTTCCTGATGCCTGATGTAAAACAGCACCAGATATTTAAAACAAAACTGAAAAAAAACAACTGGAAACCAAAGCTCTCCCAAGCGATCATACTAAATTGAAAGCATCTTACAGCATACAGCAGTATCTGCAATATACCCTGAAGGATATTCATGGTCCACCTGACTTAACTTCTGACCTCATGTAGAGTTTCTAATCTACATTATTCTCAGTTTCTGTTTGCAGTTTATTTGACTGGGAGAAGTGGATGTTAGTGCAATTGAGTGGAGTTACTATGCCTTTTTTTCCTCTCTAGTGCAAGGGCAAGACAATGTTAGAAAATAATCAAGAAAGCTAATGGAATGCTGAACTTTATATCAAGAGAACTGAAGTATTAGGGTGCAGAAGTTGTGCTGCAATTATATAAAATCCTGGTAAGACCCCACTTGGAGTACAGACAGCAAATCAAGACACCACATCTTTTGAAAGCTATATTGGCTTTGGAGGGAGCACAACAAGGTGTACAAGAATACAAAGGGTGGTAGATGCCACAAAGCAGCAGTGGATGCTCAGTCATTAAATTTTATCTGAGACAGATAAAATCTTGTTAAGCAAAGGTATTAAGGGATATGGCCAAAAGTAGGTACATGGAGTTAGGCCATATATCTGCCATGATCTCAATGAATGGTAAATGGGGGAACAGATTTGAGGGGCTGAACAGCCTATTCCTGTTCCTAAGTTCTTAGAAAGCAGAGTTACATTAGCTTAACAAAACTTTCATCTGTCCCACCCACAAACTCCCATACACCATTCTGCACACCCAACTCCTGTACCTGTGCTTCTATAGGGCACATTGGTCTATTTGAAGTGACTGTGGAGAATCGTAAAGACATATTGCATTAGCCTGTTTTGCAATACTCCTCAGTGTAATCACAAACACATTGTTGCTTGGCATCACGACCTGTAACAAAATTTAGTGGCACTGAAATTCAATGTTTTACTTTTATATAAAATTCTGCCTGATTTGCAAATTATTAAGTAATGACAATATTTTCAAATACTGCTGGGCAATATATGTGCTTAAATTGGTACAGTTTTCCTTATACTGTGCTCTCAAGGGCAATAAAAATACAAACATTCTGGATGTATTCCTCATTAAACATTTGGGAAAAGTCTAAAGCTAATCATCCAAACTTCAGGAGGATGCATTTCTTTCAGGCAATTCACATCTGACTGTCAGCAGTACAGCTCATAATGACTACATCCGCTTGGTAATAACATCCTTTTCTTGGGGCCATATTATGGGTAAAAAAAAAAGTGGATTCTGTCTGGTATACATTAGATTTCCTTTATTTTAATGGGTATACCTCAAATTCAAAGATTTATCACCAATTTCAAAACATACTACACTTCAGACAAATTCAAAAGATAAAGGATTCTCTTTTACTTTTTATTATATCCTTTTCCCTCTCTCTCCCCACACTCCCGCTCCACCTCCCCACCCCCACCCAAGCCATACTAAAGTTTGCTACAGGACAGAGGTTTATTTTAGACTGTTGGCTTAAATTGTGCATTTCCTCTTTCCTGTACGTGAATCTGTCGTTCAGCAGGAATCCAAAGACAATCTACATTAAATAATGATGAACTGTTGCTGCCAGATGTTTTGATTTTAGGTGTTGATTAAATTCAAGCTAATTACAGCAGTAGATTTTCCAAGCCACTGCTATTCTTGCTCTTTCGGATGGAAAGTGCTACATGAACATGACTTTTTAATAACACACTTCTCAGCATAAAGAAAAAGAATGTTTAACTTTCCTTTTCCAATTCCTACCTATGCTTCTGAAGCAGTATAACCAGCTATCCAGGTACAAGTTAGACACAGGAAATCGTTTATTTTCCATATTTGGAGATAAAGAGTTTGAAAGCTGTGCATAACTGGAACTCCATTATTACAAAAAGCCTGAATAAAACTAACAAATCACATACTTTGGTCGAATATTTTAAATGAGTACAAACAGACACATATAGAAACCATATACATGTAGCCAATACATTATTTAACAAATTTGATTATCTCCTTTATGTAATATTTATTAAAATGCTGCAATGTGGTGAGAGATTCTAATCTATTCAGATGACAGTTCACTCCTGAAATATTTTCTTGTATACAGGCCTGCAAGTTTAGTTTCAGGATTTTCTGTTACTTCAAAGTTCACCTAACAGTATTGCCAAAACCGATTATTTGAGTTACACTGCGTTCTATTCCAGTACATCATCAGATCTCCACAGCTTCATCCATAATTCAGTCTTCCCTTTTTTCTTCAATCCACAGGTTTTTCAACCTTTAAGCTTTCACCAAAGATCACATCTTCATTTATTACATCTCAGCTGTCTGCATGACAAAGAAGGGTCTAGGCCCGAAATGTCAGCCTTCCTGCTCCTTCGATGCTGCTTGGCCTGCTGTGTTCATCCAGCTCTACACCTTGTTATCACCCTTCATTAGTGTTTCTCAATTTAAAATGTAGTCTATTAAGCAAGTTATCAGGCAATAAGATGAACAGAAAGATTGTGCAACCATGTGATGGCATTCAAAATTTCAGGATGACCAAAATCATTTATTTCACAGCCACTGAATTACTTCTGAAGTGTAATCACAACTGTTATATTGTGGACAAACATATTGTTTGTAGGGCATTTTGTAAAATGAGGCTGAGGACTAGATAAAAACCAAAAGAACTGTGGATGCTGTAAACCAGGAACAAAAACAGAGATGCTGGAAAAGCTCAGCAGGTCTAGGAGCATCTGTGAAGGAGAAAACAGAGTTAACGTTTCGGGTCCGGTGACCCTTCCTCAGAATTCCAGTTCTTTTCCAGCAACTTTGTTTTTGTTCCTGAAGACTGGATAATCCATATTTCAGTGGTCTTGGTTGAAGAGTGACTGAATCATAACTCCCAGTTGTTTTCCTTAAAAAAATCTGCAATAGAATCTTTTATCTCCTCCCCATGGAGGTTTAACTTAATGCCTCACTCAAAAGATGGCAACTCCAACAACGCAACATTCTAAACTATCAGCTTCAATCATTTGGTAAAATCGTGAGGGCTTGAACACATGATCTTCTGACTCAGGGAAAAGGCTGAGAAAAATGTTACAGGCTAAGCCAAGTTGGCAGTTGGCAAAATAAGGGTTTTGCATTCTTTCTACTACGTGCAATTGCCTTAATGACAACTTAAATTTGAAATACTGCTAGTTGTACAAGCATCACCTCCACATTTAGGCCAAGTTGTGTAATTTGGGCAAGGGAACAAAGTGATACTCTTGTATTTCACTTTATTCTCTTAATTGCAAAGTTACTAAACCAACACACAGCAATAAAACAGCAAAGCAATAGTCTATAGAATACAAATCTCAGTTTAACAGTTCGGGTGACATCAAGCCACAAAGAACAAGTTCAATTAACAACAAGTCAACGGAAACCACGACTCAGAATCATTCCTGTAAGTGCCGTTGCATAACAATTCCTTTCTTTTATATGAGAGTGGGCTTATTTAGGTTTGTGCCAGCAGTACTTGAGATCAACCTCCGACCACCAGTGCAGAGTGTGTTCCTGTATGATGACGCTCAGTATTTAAGTGCCATGACGTTACTACGCTTTGCAGCTGATTACCAGGAAATTCTACAGTCAGTAGAACAGGTTTCCATATATATCCTTTCCAAAAATCATAACAAAGGGGAACAAAGAAGACCTGGTTCGATTTGGTATCTTGCTCGGTTTACCTAATTTTATCGTTATACTTTAGATTATGCCCACTTTGAATTGACTCTTTGGAGACTTCTATTTACACGAATTCAATTGTATTTCGTAATACCCAATCCAATAACTTATTCAGAACAACTCCAGTTCCGTTAGCTTTAATAAGAAAGTCACGATTTTAAAGGTCAAACCCCTATTCGTGGTGAAACTCTTGACTATGCAACTTCTTCACGCGAACTGTGGGAACACATTCGTTTAAGATATTTTGATTATTAAAATACACCTACGCGGAAAACAGTAGAATGTCAGACATTGTGCAAAGGCAGTTTAAAAGAAATATTACATGTCTCAGTGTTTACAAATACTTTAAAAAGTTTCATGCTGGTTTACATCGAAAGATAAAGGAGGAAAGGCATGGACAGCATGAAACGTTCAATGTCAGGCGGGGGGGGGGGGGGGGTGTTCATAAAGTTATTGTCTTAATGCTTTTTGTTTACCTATCCTGAGACTGCTCCTCATACATCCTCTCTTTGCCCTCCTTGAACAGCCTGATGGCCCGCTTGGATTTCTTCATCAGGCTGTCAATGTAGATCTTGAAGTACTCGTTCTCGCTCAGGACCTGCATTCGGTCCTCGTACTTGGACAGGATGAGCCGGAGGTGCTGGTAAGTGTCCGGCAGGATGTCCAGGATGTACGGAGGGCTGTTTTTCAGCTGCAGCTTGGAGTTCTGGCACAGCCTCACCACTTTGTCCATCAGCTTCCAGGTCTTCTCCACCATGCGCTTGTCGGCCGCCTGCTTCGGTGGCCCCACCGCGTCCTGGATGGCGTCGATCAGCCCCAGGATCCGACCCTTTTTCACGTTGCTACGTGGATTCCTCGGCGCCGCCGCCATGTTCCGAGACCCCCTTCTGGACTCGGCACTTTGCGTTTTAGTCTCTCTTTTTGTTGCTGTTGTTCCTCCCTCCTCTCTTACTTTTGTTAAAACATATATCGGCCCCTTTCGCTCCCTCAGAATCAGTGTCGATCTCGGGTAGCGAGAGTCGGAGCGGCTTCAGTCCGAATTTCTAACTAACTGCAGCATGTGCCGGCTGTGTTCGGTCTGAGAGACGAAGGAAGGAGTTGGGCTGTGTGTATATGGTGTGTGAGATTTTTTTTGAAAAAGGCCCGGAGAAGGAACCGAGCCCAAAGGAGCTGCGACTCCACACAAACACAAACTGCTACCCACCTTCCCCCCACCAGCCGCAGGAAAACACAGCGAGAGGGGTGGTGTTCCAACCTGACTGACGGCTAGCTTTGCCAATCAGGATGAAGAACACGCATGACTGACAGCCGGCTGCGTCAGTCGGTGCTACGGATCCACCCATCCGGCTAACTCACAAAACAGTACGCCAATTATAACGCGAGGCCCGCCTCCAACCCCGCCCACTCGCCGTCCCGCCCCCTTCAGACATCAACATCCAATCCAATGCAGGTCTCCCGGATGGACAGCGCCGTGAAGCCAATGAGTATCTAGATCTGTAGGAACGATGTTGGGGGCGGAGAGAAAAAAAAACCGGCCAAGGGCAGCTCTAATTGGTGTTTTGGCTGACTAATCAGGAAATAGGGGTGGAAACGTTTGACCAATCGAAGATGTGAGAAGTGGGAGTCGGCGATTGAGAGCTTTCATTGGGTAAGTGCAGCCAACCTTAGCCAATGGAAGGCGGCTGGAACCGGGACCCGCTTACGCCTGCTCATTGAGGATCAGTCAGTCTCCCAGACCCTGGGAGTTTGCAGTTGAGATGCTTAGCTTTATCTTTGATCCAGCTGCTAAAGGTGATCTGCAGTGCTAGTTTTTTTGTGTTAAGCCTTTGATGAAGCCATGTCTGAACATGGAGGCCTTTAAATGTGGACTCCAACGATAAAAGCGTGGAAGTTGGATGCTATCTTCTTATTTACACAGGAGCGGATTAACGGGAGGACGAGTGGAATTATAAACAAAGGCGGGCGGGGCTTTTTGGTTTGGCGCTGGGCCAATGCCGCACTCAGGCGGGAAGTTTAAACCCCCTTTGGTCATGACTGGTGCACTCATGTTGTAGGGAGAGGAAAATGTATGCAACTGGTCCCCTTTTTATGCTGAACCAAAAAAGTGCGAGATTGCATTTTTGTTTCCGATCCTTTTGGATTTTAAAGAGAAATGCAGACATAAAAAGAGTCTTTTATCAAATTCTTCAAAATAGTTGCAGATAAAACCAATTCTGCTTCCGCCCCCCCACCTCCTCGTCCACAATTTCCTAAATGATAATAGTCTCCAACAAAAAACTTGTTTTTCAGTAAAACTTAAAGGAACAATGCCAGAATGGATACAAAGTTGACAGTGATAGAATACAGACCAAAATGAATGGTTATTCATGAGATTGGACTAAGGTTTACAATGGAAATACAGTACAGCGAAATAATCGAGTTGGTACAAGGACCACTGATTTTCCTGATTTTATGTTAAGAACCATGACTTAAAATGCAGGACACCATATAATAATTTATAAGTTACACAAAACGTAAAGGATTCTGAACTTTGCAAAAGATACTGATAGATTTCAAGAAGTTATATACTGCTGGAGAAATGGTCAATGAAAAGTAGGTGAAAGTTAAGTGGCAGAAAACGGTGAGGTAATAGACATATTTTGATAGTGAGAACAAGGAGAGCCAGTGTAAATAGAATGTAATTATAAAGACATTGCAGGAATAGAATGACTTGCGGGCACGTACACAGAAATCATTGAAGGCTGTGTTGCAGGCTGAGAAAATGACTGAAAAGTGTATGGGAAATAACAGGCTCTTTGGGCCACTATGTCTACACTGACCATGATGCTATTCTAGACGAGTCCCATCTGCCTGCATATGGTCTGTGTCCCTCAATACCGTGCTCGGACTTCATACACATACATACAGTACAAAAACAAGGAAGTTATATTGAAGCATTACAAAATGTCCCTTTTTCCCCCAAATACAGTATTGTGAGAAATTCAGGGAACTGTACTTTAGAAAGGATGTGAAAGATCAGATAGTGTGCACAATAGATTTACAAGAATGGTTCCAGGGACTAGCAATTCATGTGGATACATCAGCAAAATTGGTGTTCTCCTTCAAGGAGAGAAGATTTAAGAGAACAATTATTATAAGTGTCCAAAATCAGAGGGACTAGCCACAGGTGAGATGCTAGAAGACTGGAGGTTGGCTGACATTGTGCCACTATTTAAGAAAGGTGGTAAGGAAAAGCCAGGGAACTATAAATTGGTGAGCCTGACATCAGTGGTGGGCAAGATGTTGGAGGGAATCGTGAGGGACAGGGTAAATAGGCAAGGCCTTTTCCCCGGGGTGGGGGAGTCCAAAAGTAGAGAGCATAGGTTTAGGGTGAGAGGGGAAAGATATGAAAGGGGCCACTTTTTCACTCAGGGGTTGGTGTGTATATGGAATGAGCTGCCAGAGAAAGTGGTGGAGGCTGGTACAACTACACCATTTAAAAGGCATCTGGATGGGTATATGAATAGGAAGGGTTTAGAGGAATATGGGCCAAATGCTGGCAAACGGGTCTAGATTTATAAAGGATATCTGCTTGTCACAGATGAGTTGGACCGAAGGGTCTGTTTCTGAGCTGTATATCTCTGTGACTCTAAGATGAAGAAGAAATCTTCCCATTGATGGAAGAGTCAAGAACCAGAGGACACAGATGTAATCTGGTTAAAATTGACATGTGGGAAAGCAGTTTTACACAGAATTTGATTAGAATCTGGAAAGCACTACCTGAGAATGTGGTAAACTGAGGTACAATTGAGTCTTTCAGAAGGAAATTAGACATATGTCCAAAGAGATAAAATTTGCAGGGCTATAGGAAAGTGTCAGCAAACAAGAAAAGCTACGTTGCTTTTGCAGAGAACTGCACATACTTGACAGGCTAAATAGCCTCCTTCTGTGCTGTAACAGAAAGGATATGTGGTGCAGAAGTTTGTAAAACATTAGGAAAGTAAAGAAGGGCAACATTGAAGTAGGAATTGAAGAGTTTTTTTTAAAAATTGAATTATATACGGTAAGGCAAATGACCAAATATGATTTTGCTATCAGTGATGGACCTTCGAGAGGGATACACATGAGTAAGTAATGTTACTTTGGATGCCAAGTAGGGAAAGATCATGGAGGATTTAGACAGGAGTGCTACTTTTCTTGATAATATAAAACTTTTGTCAGGAGTAGCTCAGTGGATTGAATGAGTCAGACGTTGGCGCAACCATTAAAGCTAACACTCTAATACAGCAGTGAGGGAATGCTGCATTGACAGAATTACCAGGTTGTAGGTTCAAGTCCTAGTCCAGAGCTTTAGCACAAAAATTATGACTGATAATTCAGTTCACTAGTAATGGAATTCTACATTGTCGGAAGTGCCATCTTTCTTATGGACATAATGTCAAATCAAGGCTTCTCTGCTCTTTCAAATGGGGCTTAAAAGATCCAACAGCACTATGCAAAAAAGAACAGGGAAGTTATCTCCAGTGTCTTGAAAAATATTTGTCCCTTAGTATCCCAATAAAAACTGACCATTATTGCAATGCTGTTTGTTGGAGAAAAAGTCAGAAACCCCACGACACGAAGTTTATTTGAAATCGCAAGCTTTCACAGCACTGCTCCTTCGTCAGGTGAAGAGAAAGTTTGCTGTGTACAAATTGAATGCTGTAAATTTCCCACCGTACAACTGCAACTACATTTCAAAAGTACTTCACTGATTGAAAAGCAGTTTGGGATCTCCTGCAGTTGCAAAAAAGTGCTATATGAATGCAAATCTTTCTTTCAATTGTACTATCAATTCTATCAGGTCGAGATTAACTAATCTGATTGAGACTGAGAGTCAAAGTGATCACTTTCTGTTCTTAATAGGGGTTGGTTCAGTCACAAACTAAAATGTTGGAGAAAGCAACCTCTGAGGAAAATGTAGTCCAAAAACTTATAGAACCAATCATTTATTAATTCCCATTTATAAACCTGGTGCAGTCATTAAAATCAGTAGCTGGAACCAGTGTATATATCATTTGCTTTGATTACTCAAAGGATGAATCTGGATATTATGCAACCATGGGTACTTGGTTGCACTATTCAGTTATCATTAATTGCAGTCAACTCCTGCACATTTAAAAGAATACAAAATGAACTGGGACAACAAGGTGCAGGGCTGGATGAACACAGCAGGCCAAGCAGCATCATGGGAGCAGAGAGGCTGACGTTTCGGGCCTAGACCCTTCATCAGAAAAGGGGGAGGGGAAGGGGGTTCCGAAATAAATAGGGAGAGAGTGGGAGGCGGATAGAAGAGGGATAGAGGAGAGGATAGGTGGAGAGGAAACAAACAGGTCGAAGAGGCGGGGATGGAGCCAGTAAAGGTGAGTGTAGGTAGGGAGTTAGGAAGGGGATAGGTCAGTCCAGGGAGGACGGACAGGTCAAGGGGGTGGGATGAGGTTGGTCGGTAGGAGATGGAGGTGCGGCTTGAGGTGGGAGGAGGGATAGGTGGGAGGAAGAACACCTCTTCCTCCGTTACATTGATGACTGTATCGGCGCCGCCTCATGCTCTCACGAGGAGCTCGAACAGTTCATCCACTTCACTAACACCTTCCACCCCAACCTTAAGTTTACCTGGACCATCTCTAACACCTCTCTCCCTTCCTGGACCTCTCTGTCTCCATATCGGGCAACCACCTAGAAACCGATATTCATTTCAAGCCCACCGACTCCCACAGCTACCTAGAATACTCCTCCTCCCACCCACCTTCCTGCAAAAATGCTATCCCCTATTCCCAATTCCTTCGCCTCCGCCGCATCTGCTCCCAGGATGAGGCATTCCACTCCCGTACATCTCAGTTGTCCTCGTTTTTCAAGGACCGTAACTTCCCCCCCTCGGTGGTCGAGAACGCCCTCAACCA